TCAAACCAACTTTCGGGCAGACCAAGGCTTGCAACATCAATTGCCCAGTGGCAGGATGCGAACGCCGGATTCGCGAAGTGCAGCACGGTGAATCGATCGTAGGGCACAAGGTCGAAAAGGGATAACCCATCGTTGATGGTCCCGTGCGGCAGCCTTGCTCCAGGACATGCTCGTGGCACGTATACCGTTGGCTTTTCAAGAAGAGACAGCGTCCGAGACGGATCGTCGTAGATGAATCCGAGCTGGAGAGCTAGAGAGTCGAAATGTCTGCTCGCCTCTGTGACTGCCTCAACTGCCGTAGCGGAAACGGCGGGCCGTTGGAGGAATCCATCCATGGTGAGATCTGGCGCCTGCGCCCTCGCTTCTTTGTACTGGAGGGCAAGGCCCACCAGTATGGTACTGACGGAGTAGAAGGCGGCCTCACTAGCCTTGGAGTACTCGATATTTGCCAGTGCAACAGGTCGACGCTCACGGGTGAAGCTGGTGAGAAGGCTCGGGGTGCCTTTCCCCTGGATTATGGCAGCAAGTTTCCACACCAGGTTGTGTGCATCGGCGATGCCTGTGTTGAGACCGAGACCACCCTGAGGCGGCAAGCTGTGGGCAGCATCTCCCAAAAGAAACACACGGAGCGTTGCATCACTGTACGAGGATGCCACCCGAGGAGCAGTCTCCCAAATAGTACGAAGGACCTCCGAGTATTGCAGACCTGGAAGGCAGGCCTCAATTGGTGGTGCCTTGGGTTGTCCACCAGTTGACGCGGGGTCCATGACAGGAACGACATGGACGAAGGAGGAATCGACATTGTGTGCGATGAACTCGCTGGGATGCTCGGGGTGGAAGCAAAAGTAGAGCATGGCCTCGCGACCCGACGGAAGCGCAGAGCGCAGGCTGCCTTTACAGACAATTGACTGGTAAGCATAGCCAGTTCCCAAGGATTCAAACTCAATGCCGGCCGTCTTATCCCGCACGGTCGAATTGGCGCCATCGGCACCAATGACGAAATCGGCTTCGATGCTGAGTGTTTTGATGTCGCGATCCTGTCCCTTGGGACTGCACGAAACGACGCAGCCAGTCCCCTCCACATCCGTAATGTCGACTGCATCCACCTGCCAGCCCCTCCTGAATTGAACGAGGCCGGTCTCCGCTACCGCCTTCTCGAGGAGGCGTTCTAGCTCTGGCTGTGGCCAATTCACCAAAGGCTCGGGTGTCAGAGTGCGCACCTTGTCATCTTGGCGTTCGTAGGGGAAGCAGCCAATCTCGGCATCGGCCAGGCCATAAACAAGACGCACCAGTCCGGCATCTTCGGCTGTCGCTGCATGTTTTCGGATATAAGCAACATCTAAGCCTGCCTGGCGGAATATTTCTAGCGTCATGGGATTGATCGTATGTGCTTTGGGGTGGTCAGAAACGCCTAGGCGCCTCTCCAAGACGATGGACTCGATCTTCTGGCGGGCAAGGAGATAGGCCGTGAACAAGCCAACCGGACCTCCACCTGCAATGACGACACGAGTCTTTTCTATTTTCTGCATGGTCTTTGGTGGTTGATTGCGGCTTGGGTTCACGTGTATGTGGCAATATGCTTGGGGTATCGTAGGGAAGAGATAGGGAAGATATTGTTCAGGTGGTGATAATGGCTTGCTGTTGTTGGGAAATAGATGAAGAATGAGAGAAATGGCGCGACCAGCGGCGACATTATCACTTTTCCCCACCTTCGTTGTTTTAATTAGGTTTATCTGAGGTAAGCCTTGCTTCATGCAAATATCGCCAAAGAACGAACCGCACGGGACCAGCCGCATGACAAAGTTCTTACTACCCCACAGACACGATGTCTTTTTATATGCCCGCACAATACTCCAAATCCTGCCAGTCGGGTCCCCGTTGATCGATTTTTTTCACCACCGCACGCACGGATGAACTCTAGCTTACGAGAATCGAGTTCGGCTCTACACTAGGTGTTTAAAGACTTGCGCATTGCTCCCGATGAGTCCTCCACGTCTTTTATGGGAAGTAGGTTTCCATACAGCGCTTACACTAAAGCTGCGGCCATTTGTAGCCCTAGCAGACTTCCTTCGACCTTTCCGCCCATGATAATCTGACCGATATGAAAGCACTGCTCATCGCTGACATACTAATTGATTTTCCCGTGATTCAATACCTGCTTCTCATCTACTCCAAATGCCAGAGGCCCGTCATCGATCACGGTAGCTCGGCGCACATCACGAGCAGTCATGTCGATGTTGTAGGGGTTCGCGCGATGCATGGATTTCCTACCGGTTGTCACATCTCAGTAAAATGCATGGGATAGATTGTTTGTAGAGTTGAAAGCAGGAACTCATGTTAGTGAGGGAAAAGAAATGAATAAAATGCTCACCTATTATCCCACCACACCATATCACCACTATCTAGCCACTCCATGCTAAAGACATACTAGTACAGGTCAGCGGCCTTACCAATAGGCCCTCAGGACAGTTTTATGGGCCTTCTCTTCAGGGTTACCTTTGGCTGTGTACAGTGATCAATGAGCTCCCAAATCAGCTTCTGGCTCTGCTCAAAGCTGCGACCCAGTACCAGCTTGGCGTGCGCGGCCAGATAGAGTGTCTTTTTCCCGTCCGGCCCAATTTGGACAAGACGGTGGTATGCCGACTTCTCGGCCGCTCGCTCGTTGTCCAGAGGTTGTGCAAAGGCCTGTGGGGAGGCCAACCGGCGAGAGTGCCACAGGTCATGCTCGACAATTAGATCCTCCAACTCATCCTTCTTGGATTGGGGCAGATCAGCATAAGCTCGTGCCGTATCAGCGAAATGAGTCCACGAGCCGCCTTTGACGGGACTGCCATGGGATAGTAACAGCGAGTACTTTGATCTCTGTTGGTGGAAAGAAGAGTCCTGTCCGTTGTGTGAGTACTACTTACCATGATACGATCTCATGTTATGATGTTGGAACTAACCGTATGCCACAAAGCATTGCCTAAGCTGTGATCCCATCGTCTCTGGTTGGGCTGTACAGTGGTGCCGTCGAGATTGATACTGCAAATAAGCCAATCAGTATCGTGTAAATTCCCCAATCAGGTACGAAGCCTTGCATACTTGCTAACGTCCCACAGTAGTGGATCACCTATGCGGTCGTTCTCAATGCCATAGAAGAAAGGGTTGATCTCAAGCTCCTGGCCTAGTTTCTGAGCGAATTCTATGTGTCCTTTGTTGTCCAGGCCAGTTTTGCGGAAAATCAAGACGCCGTATTTGTCTTGAATTTTCTTGAGCTATTCATATTCAGCTTATTAGAAAAGTCTAGTTGCGTTACTCGCCAAACCTCAATCGTGTGTGCTTACTTTTTCAATATCATTGGCGGGAAGCGGGAATGACCAGTCAATTCCGTCGATTTGAGCGCCGAAGGATGACTGCTCGTCTTGCAGGACCGGAGTGATGATGATGTGCCCCTCGTGAATCTGCTGATGGTTCCCGCCGCGATCCCCGAACCGTTGCTGCTCATTAGGCGGAAACATGTTTTCGTACCTCCGCGGAAGACTTTGGATCATCGTAACAGCGGACATGGTGGAACTTGATTAGCTCGATAATGCATATCTCGCAACGTGGAATTATCAGATGGACCGAGTATCAGCAACAGACCTCCGATGAATATATCACCACAGTCGAGACCCCACCCAGCGGCTTCATTGCCGACCGGACCGATCCTCCGCTGGCCGACTGAGCCGATAGGCTTTTGCCCTTCCTCAGACAGAAACACACAAAATCCGTATGCTGCGGCGACTGATCTTCAGGCCTCCCGAACCTGCCTTACCTCATTTCCGTGAACAGCGCAGCAGCTTGACAAACCACCCTCCTACGATGACGTCTCAAGATAAGATTCTCATCACGGCTGGACCGTACCAGTTCTTGGCGGCCTTTGAGGCGGCGGCTCCCAAGACAGCGGCGGTATTTCGCAATCTGCTACCATACCGGCAACAACTTATTCACGTACGTTGGAGCGGCGAAGCGGTTTGGGTGCCGCTGGGTGAACAGGACTTCGGCCTGGGATTCGAAAACCACACCAGCCACCCTGGAGCAGGACAAATTCTCTTCCACCCCGGAGGCTACTCTGAAACGGAATTGCTCTTCTGCTACGGCGGCGTCTCGTTTGCGAGCAAGATGGGCTCCCTTTCTGCAAATCATTTCCTGACTATCATTGAGGGTGCCGAAAACCTCAGAGCGTTAGGCGAGCTGGTCCTTTGGAAAGGAGCACAGGATATCTTATTCGAGTTGGCAGATGATGAGAGGTTCGTTCAATATTCGTCCCCGTGGCACCTTAGGAGCTAACGTTCGCTAGGATCAGCGCATTCAGGCGGAACAGCCAGACAATTCAAAAGGCTTCTAAGTTGTGACCGCTTAAGTGTGCTACCCACGACAGAGAAGTCCCTGTGTTCTCACACCCGGTGGATGTGGGGTTCCCAAAGTGTGCATAGATACGGCTGAAAATGGCTGCAGGAAGCTCAATTGCATCAGATGAACACAAAAAGATCATTAATGAAAGGTTTGCATCCGCACGCGTCCTGATATCCAATGGGATCGCAATCAAATAATCATACGTACGCATTGGCCTTTGAGCGAAATGGGCGGGAGTGGATTGAGGATCAGGATGAAATCCCAATCACGACTACGGATACCTACCTAGGCTGGACATCCCTGCTAGTTCCAGTACAGAGTAGTTCATTGGTAGTTGTTATCTTCAAAGTGGAGGTTATTTAGGTATTCTCCGACCCAGCCCCACATATGCCGAAGTGAAAGATGTGAGGTGAATGATAAGACCTCTCGGTTCCATCGGCCAGCGGGCCGCTCGGGTTGATACCGACCGACCCACCTCCTCCACGGAGCTGTACCTCATTATCTTACAGATAGCCCAGCTGAGCTCGGTTTGATGACCAAGTTGATCTATCATATTCAGTATCTACTTGTCGAGGTACAAGATTACAAGCATTGCTTCCTCGTCCTACATACAAACCATCGCGATGGGCCTGATGTTGAAGCCAGGGGCTTACGGCCCCTTACCAACTTTTTTTACTGACGACCAAGAAATCGACTACGAGTCGTACAAGAAGCATTTACTCAGTTAGCTATTGCTCCCTCTCCTAACCTAACGTGATTCATATTAATAAGTCATTGTGCAAGACCTCGCTAAAAGGGGAATCAGTGAGTGACCCAGGTTTCCTGCAGAACATTGACTATCCCGTGAAACACCGCCACTGACTTGTCTAGACCCCGTGTGCGCGGGATCGTTGGGTGAAGCAGTACATTTGGTATGCAAATTCAATTTGAACCATTTTTCATGTGCGGGACTTTGCCTTAACCATCAAGAGTCATAGTCACCAGAGGAACGCGTTGCTCTCATTACCTTCATTAGACGCACACTTGACGATGCTGGCATGACGGACATGCCCATTGTGGCAGGTGTGGGTGGTTCTAGCACCAGAGAGACTATCAGACTTGCACATGCAGCCGCCAATGCTGGGGCGTAAGTCTTCAGCAACAAGTTACTTTGCACCTTAATCCATGGCTGATTTGCAACCCACAGAGATGCAGGGCTGGTCATTCTCCCAGCTTACTACGCTGCTAGCCTGAGCACCGACCAAGAACAAATCATTCAGTATTACGTTGATATATGCAAAGGGTCACCGGTCAGTGACTCCGCTCCCATCATAATCAATGGATATAGCTCAAATCCCTAGATTCCCCTGTTCCTGTACAACTTTCCGGCAAACTCGGCAGGTTTGGACATGTCATCGGCGATCATCGAGGCGGTGATACGTCAAGCGCCTAACCTATGCGGCGTCAAACTCACGTAAGTGAAAAATATGATGTGACCTCGTGACCTCTGGTAGACTGACCTTTTGGGATAGTTGTGGTGGCAGCGTCGCAAAGCTGATTCGCCTATCATCCTTCATCAATAGCGAGCCGTCAGTCAATTTATGCCGGCCGTATCCCTTCCTGCTTTTGGACGGGCTCATCTCCGATTTGACGCCATGGATGAAGTGCGGCGGCCATGGAACCGTCAGCGGCATCCCCAACTTCGCTCCTGCTGCCTCCATGCGTCTGTGGGCACTTCTCAATAAGCCCGATCTTACAGACGATGAGAAGCGGGAAGCAGAGAGAATCCAGTCCATTCTATCCAATGCCGACGTGGCGGCTGTGCCTGCAGGTGTAAGGGGTATGAGTAAGTAATGGTTTGCATGTATCAGAAAGATGGGGATGTTGTAGCTTTGACTAACACTATGCTCACGCAGAGTATGTCTTGCACAAACTCCACGGATATGGAATGGATCCCAGACGCCCACTGCTTAGATTGGGAGAAGCGGAGGGGGGACAATTAATGTCGCAATTCAAAGAAATGATCGAGCTGGAGGCAGAATACTCTGAAACAGCGTAGTTTTCAGATGTAGAGATGGAATGTTACAGCACAAAAGCTTAGGAACACAACGTAACAGTTCCAAAGTCTCTTGAGTCTCGGCCGAAGTCAGGGAACCTAAATTTTCACAGGACATGTGATAGAATTTTGCAAAGCAACTCAGTGACTTGAAGCTTTTTTGTTGACGATTAAGTCGCAATTACATAAGGCATCATATTTGCCCTCGGTCCGAGCTCTCTGTGCTATTGTACATTGGAGACGTTGTTAAAAAGAGATGGACTTTGTCGTAGCTTCACTTTGAATAAGGGGTTTACGATAGCAGAAATGAATGCTAAGAGTGAGCATGTACTCCATTGCTCGTGAATTGAAAATAAAGGTGTAGTGTTTCGATAGCTGCCATGTATTCTCGTCTAGGTCCACCTTCTTCTCTGATTTGGGTTCAGGGATCAGCCAGTCAATCCACCTTACAAAACGTATCTGAAGTACGGAGAGTACTCGCCCATTTCGGCCAGTTGCTTCTCTGTGTATTTCCCCTCTAGTTCCTCTGGGGGTATGCGGTCTTTTTGAAGGTTGGCGCGGCGAAGTAGGTACCAGTTGGTGATGCAGGCACCATAACCACCTATAGCGACGAGTACAATGATGGTGATGAAGCCGGAGCGGTATGTGGGGGCCTCATGGCTGACAAAGATGTTGACACCAATACAACCGCCAGCAAGCTGGCCCCAGGTTGACATCCAGCCCATGGCCGCGGCACGCTTGGCCGGGTTGCGCACATTTGTGCCGAGCCAGGAGCCGACTGCCGGGCCCTGCATGTTGTAGCCAGCGATGACAAGAAACAGAGCAAAGTAGCTTAGCCCGGAAAGGTTTGAATAATGCAAAGAGGGCCACAGGATGACGATGCCGATCGTGCCCACCGTGTAGCTGATGATCAACGACCGGGCCCTGCATTGATACCGATCGGAGTAGAAAGCAATGGCGACGACACAGAAGAAGGCGAAGACGTAGGGCGGGGAGGTCATAGCTTGGGCCTGGATGGCGGAGTATCCGAGACTCTTCACCATCTTTCACAAGAGAATTTAGCGGAGAACTTCCATCAATGGGCTTTCGCGGGTACATACCGTTGCCAGAGTGTAGTTGACCGAGTATGTGGGCACGGAGCCACCAAAGGCCAGAAGAGAAGCGACAAGGTAGGTCTTCCAATCCTTGACGGCCTCAAAGAAGACACTCCAGCGGAATGTCAAGTCGGGAGGCACGGGACCATCGCGATACTTGACGCGCAACTTGAGGTACTTCATCTCATCTGCGCTAAACCATCGGGAGCTCCATTTCTCTGGGAAGTCTACACATAATAGGAGACCGAGGCTACCGATAATGACGGTGATGCAACCTAGAGACAGATTCGGTCAGCAATGAATTCCCATCCAAATGGCCGGCTGGCAATGATAATGCATACCCTCAATGATGAAAAGCCACTGCCACTGTCGCAGGCCGTGATGATCCTGAAGTGGGCCAACAGCGTATGCTAGTAGGCCACCGAAAGCACCGGATAGCAAAGTTGCCGAGTACCACCACGCGCAACGAGACTGCAGCTCGTTGGGCAGATACCAGCAGCTGATCGTGTAGAAGCAACCTTGATACATTCCGGCCTCGAACAGTCCAAGCAACACACGGCAGATGACAAAGTTGTGGTAGCTCTTGACCCAGGCACCGCCCAGAGTAACACACCCCCAGCAGATGACGAGCGATGACAGCCAGATTCGGGGACCAATGCGACGCAGCATCATGCTATCGTCCATTGCAAAGGTCAGCAACGCCGGAGGGAAATCACAAAACGAGACACCATTAGTAGGGTAGGAAGATGACTCACTTGGATGGAGCTTCAAACATGGCATACATGATGATGAACCACGTCAAGGCCAGGTTGAATTGGGTATTGGTCATGTTGGTGTCTTCCATGAAGGTGTAGATCTTGACATTGCCAGCGTTGGACCGATCAATCGAGTTCAGCAGGTAGTACATGAACAGGAAGGGCAGGATGCGGGCATCGAGGCGCAGGATCATGCTCCGATGCGCCTTGGGATCGGCCGTAAAGTGGTCTTTGAGGCGCAGATACTCGACATACTCGGCGGCGTGCACAGCGTCGGTCATAAAGGGGGCGTGAACCTCAATGGTGCTGCCCACCTGCATTTCGACATTCTTGCTGTCGTCCATTGGGCTTTTAGACGCGTCTTTGGGCGCCTCGCCGGACGAGATGGAAGCTGGTGGCATGATGAAAGATGGCTATTGTCCCTCGATGAGGGCTTGGAACGCCCGTGTTAGTCTGGGTTGTCGTGAACCGGCCCCGTGGTTCAAGTACTTCGGGCTGCCGTACGAACATTGTGTCGCTATCGCCGTTATCAACGTCGGCTTTGTCGGCACTGGCCCGATCACCAGCGATAAGAACCTTGATACCATTAGCGCTGTTCATGGCATCCTTCTCGAGAAATAAGACACCCCCGGCAGCCGGGTCCTGGGTAATGGAAGCGGCCAGGAAATCATGGATCACAGTCGGTTGCGTGCCGAATTTAACGACGAGCTCGCGGTCGATGAGGCGATTGCGGCCGACACCGACTGGGGCGCCGGCGGACCACCCTCGGCAAAGATTTATCGGACCTCGAAAGGTACGTACAGCATGCTGCTATCTTTATCGTGTTTCCTACTCGTCTATCTTCTGCTGTATGATCCGCTGACCATCCTATCTGGCGCAGCTTGTGCCCAATGCCGCGGTCGCAAGCAGAAGTGCTCGGGGCCTGGCGATGGCAGCAGCGCCGGCGCCTCGGCATCGGCACCGGAGGACCAAGCCCGGCAACCCTGTCGGCGATGCGCCCACTCGGGTGTTCAATGCTCCTTCACCACAGCTACCAATGAGCAAGGGTTCAATGACGTGGATGCCGCTAGCCGAAGCGCTCGCAAAGTTGACCGGCTCCAAAAGCAGGTCAATGAGCAGGCCAGCCGCATCAGCCAGCTGGAAGCGACCGTGAGCAACCTCAGTGCTGCCGTCGCTGTCGTCTCCCGAGTGAACAGAACTCCAGATTCGGGTCTCGATGGTCTGCACGTCGCAAACCCGCCGGGCCCATCGCCGCAGGGCACGAAGAGATGGCACGATAGAGCCAGCGTGACAGCGACATCCCCCCTTTCCAAGCGAGCAAAGATCCGCAATGATGAGATATTCGCCAGCGGGCCCGCGTTGTTCCAAAATCCTAGTCCGGGGCGCCGAAGCAATGCTCACGGCCCCGTGGACTTCAGCACTCCCATGTCTATGCTCCGCCACTTGCGCCACGACATCCACGACATGAGCGTGGAGAACGAGGCCTTGGATCCGATAATCTGTGGCGTCATGACGATGGAGCAAGCCCAAGAAACCTTCGATACCTTCTTCGATCACTGTCACAAATGGGCACCGGTGCTATGCGCACAAACCCAGACCTCTGCGGCCATCATCAGGCAGTCCTGCCCGGCGCTATTCATATCCGTCTGTTGTATCGGATACCGCTTCACCAGTACGTCTACAACCGAGACGCAACGTCGTTACATGGCTCTCATCTCACTGTTGGACCACTCCCTAAGCCGTCTTCTCTTGAAACCAAACTTGGCCGATGTAAATCTGGATCACATTCGCGCAATACTGCTGTATATACAATGGATGCCCGTCGACAATATTGGCAATTCTAGTAGATCTATCAGGTACAACGCCATCTCCGCATGGAGCATGCTGGGTCTGGCCATTCGGTATGCCCTTTTCCTCGGATTACACCAAGATGCAGTGCTCCCTTTCAAGTCAGACAACAACGAACTCCCGACACTGGAAGATGTCGGTCGGCTACGTGTGTGGATAAATCTGCTTACCTGCGATGCCGCCTTGACGCTTTCAAGCGGTCTCCCAGCGACGTTAAACCCGGATCCGGTGGTGGCCGTTGCTGGCCGCTTCAGGTCAAACGACAACGCTATTCATCCCGATGACACAAGGAGCTCAGCAACGTGCGAACTTGTGTCTATTCTTAAACGAGCCGCACGAAGAAGCGGAAGCCCCAATGCGCGCTCGTTGGATGCCGACTGCTTGCGACAGGTCAATCTGGAGTTAGACACGTGGGAGACGGACTGGAATCCCATCATCGGCGACCAAATCCAGCACTACCAGATGCCGTTTACGACTCTGCGATCCTATCGTCTTTCTATCAACAGCGCATGTCTATCGCCACTCCTTCGGCCGTCGGGAGGCCAGGGCCAGATATCCATCTACGTGCTCCAGGCGCTGGAGGTCAGTCTGCACACGGCGGCCTTGACTATTTTCGCACTCGCAGAGCAATCTAGACACCGGTCTTGGGGACATTATCAAAGTATCGATTCATTGCCTAGGGGCAGATACACTGCCGACATTGAGGCAATCAACCGCATCAAATACTCGGTGGACTCAACGTGGATCTCCTACAGCTTCGCAACTATGTTCCTTGTCTTATGCTACAAGAATGGAATCATCGATGAAAACTTGAAGATCTTGGCCTTATGCTATTCCACCGTGGACGTGGTAACCTTTCCTCGGCGACAAGCGCCATCCTCGCTTCTCTTCCGGTTGGTGTCATTGGCGATGCAGATATTTGACGTCGCAAGTACAAACCTCCTGGCACATCTTGCCTTGGATCAGAAATTGCTCCTCTCAGGTGTTTTTGCCGTCGTCCTGGGAGATTTGGACACGGATGACGGAATTCCATCCGAGATGCCAGCCATGACGTCATATTCGGATCGGGAGGTGGAAGCCCTCTTCAATTCAATGGTGAAT